ATAAATCTAACAAACTCTGTTGCAGTATGTTGAAACTATGCTTATACGTAATTGCCCCCCCCCCTTTTTCCTCCTAGCATATGCAAAGTTAGAAAAGTAGGACCAAGTTTTAGGTCTTTCGGTGTTGTTATGTATGGAACCACGGGTACAATTCTTTTGTGATTTTTCCTACAATTATGACTGTTGAAAAAGTAACTGTACAAACCTGTGAAGTCATCTCCTTCGTTCGTATATGTTAAGTAATCGTTGTCTTTGAAAACAAGTACTGCTGGATTATCGGGAAGAGAAACTGCTTTCGGGAAGGCATCTCTTTTTGCCTGATAGAATCGTATTGATGAAAACAACTTCTCCGCTATATCGTGATAACTGTCAATCAGTTCAGATGTGTGTGTTTTTTCTGGTTTCCCTTCCACAAATACGAAAAATGGCTCTTTCATTGTTTTTCGCATCTGAAAAAAACTCATTCGAATCACAAGTTCAGCTGGTAAGAATGGTAAGCAGATTGCAGCATTCCGGTTGACTCTGGAAGTGCAGATGGCAAAGGTGCGAAGGAATTTTGGAGGGAAGAAATAGTGTTGATGAAAACGTATTGTAAATTTCAATGATTAGAATTTATCAACGGCAACCAATGTCTTTACGAATCGCTTTAATAATTTTATACAATAGCGAATCAAATCACTTTTATCTTGATTCTTAAGTACCCTTGGGAGGAATATAGCGTCGACACTTTTGCTCGGCGATGGTTGCTGGCCAGAGATCGAGAGGCACTCGAAATGATAAGTAATGGCCATTCGAAGGACGATTCCAGGCCATTCGAAGGACGATTCAGGGATGGATGGTCCAAGGGGGTCGAACTGATTAAAAATTTTTTTGCGGCCGTTGGTAAGCCGAAATATAATTTCTGGAGTGGCCAGTCTGAATTTGTGGGAAAGACGGAAGGGCCAAAATCCTTCAATTTTAATATCGGGTGGAGGACGGGAAAGATAGTAGGGCTGCTAATGTGGTACAAACCGTATGACATGTTGAAGAGTCATACAAAGAGAAGTATGTGGAAGTTGGTCTCCCACTTTCGAGGGATGCATTAAAACAGGCCAATGGCATGCCTCAGCGCCAATTTACCATTAAAACTAATAAATGCTGATTGCCGAAATGATGAATTTGAGCCCACATATCGTTGGAGCTAACAAAAAAAGTAAAATCCGATGGGCGAAAGATTATCGTACGCTGTGACAACTGCCTGAATTTGCACATATTTAGGCGGTACCCTGGAGAAAGTAAACGACCACTCAAGCGCGACTGTTATTATGAATGTACAGTGAAGATGTGGTAGGTATAATGAGGGAGCATACAGCCCAGATTTGAAGGGTCTGGTAAAGCTGGATCTCACGTGTAGAAAGGTGTCAAATAACATTCGATCCCCACACCGACTGTCTAAACATTACCCCGGCAGCAGCTAGTGATTCATATCCTAAATCTTCATCTATCGCAACCAGCAATTATTCCAGCTGTGACAGTCCAAAAGTAGAAATTTCTGGCTGCACAAGAAGAAATCAAGAACAAAAAAAAATAGAGGTAAAAGTATGGGGTTAAAAATTAAAAAAATCTTCACCTGCGACAATTCCCGAACATCTTCGATAAGTCCAATCACAGGCCCGGATGCTTTCAGAGCAAAATCAACCATTGCCTCTTTTTTCCGCTCACCTTCGTACACCAATTCTTTACCATGCCGGAAGCTATAAAAAGAAAAGATGCTCAATCATAGGCTGATCCAGGGCGGTCTTCTTCTCACCACATCGGCTGCCCCACTCCTTTTCCTCCTCCAGTCGCTTCACTGTTCCCTCCCTCG